GCTCATTCAGGTAAGTTTTACTGTCTTAATAGCATTGCTTTCAAACAGTGGAAGTCTTTATTTTTTGGCATTTGAGGCTTAAATAAATGATTTATCTTTGTTTCTTAAAGAAATAATCTAATTATTAGACTAATCTGGCCTCATGGTTTGCACTTAAATAAGTCCTGCATCCAAAGTCTGGTCCTGCCAGGGTTTTACTGTAAGTGTAAAATACCCCCAGAATCTTGCATGTGAAGCATGTCCCATCTATCTTGCTTTGTCACTGACCCCAGCAACACATTTTTGTCCTCATTTAAATGTTAATGAAGCTCTCACCTTGCAGCTCCTCCAGATTGATACCAAAGGCTGTATGAAGGTTATCAAGGAGAGGAAGCTGAGGCAGTTGGAGCTGCTTAAGGCTAATGTAAGGAGCCCTCAGCAGGTATTGTGGTTTTAAGCTGTCCCCACTGAAGTCTTGACTAAAATAAGCACTTTAATTGTGTGGTCACACAATTTACATGTGTGTTAGCTGTTTTGGTTCAGAGGCAGAATAAAGTGCTGGCTGTATGGCCATTTGTTCAGGAGGTGGCAGATGTGGGTTTGATTCACATCTGTGCTGTTTTAATCATCTTTAAATTTACCAGAAGTATAATTTAATATACTTTTTTTTTTTTACAGGCTTCCCAAAATACAGAGACTTCTTCAGGTACCTACCAGAACATTTATTTTTGTGATGTGCAAGAGCTTTCACATAATTCATCACTAACATTAATAACCAGTTTAACTGAAGGAGAGCTTTGGGGGACAAACCTGCATTGTCATGCTCATTTTTGCTAGCTCTTGGATCTTTAAGCATGTTCCCCTTTGGTAAGGACTGGAAAAAACCCTGGAGGGCTGGGGAATCAGTGGCTCTGGACCAGTTCAGTGGGGGTTAGGGTGCATTCCTGGCCCATCTCTGATTTCTGGGGGCAGTTTTTACCCCTTGTTCAGTTGTTGGGACATGGCTTGATTAAATCAGGACTGTAGTGTTGTAGGAATTCTCACAAACAGGAACTTTGCCACGTTCCTTGATGTTTAATGAGAAATGGCTTTTGGAAATACTGTTAATTCATTGTCATTTTATCCTCTGCAGGCAGCTCATCCCAAGCTTGTTCTAAGAGGAATTCCCAACAGGGCATGCCAAAGAGAGCTGTCAGGAAAACTGCCTTGAAAGGAGCACGGGCCAGAGCTGTGCAGGGGCAAAGGCAGAGGATGAAAACTGTCTCAGAATTGCTGCAGGAGAAGCGTTTGAGGCAGTCCCAGGCCAAGGCAGCCATGCAGAAGACAGTGGTGGTTGCCCCACGGGTGCTGGTTTCAGGGCCTTTGATAATCCAGCACCCAGCACAGCAAATCATTCCCTCTGCACAACCTGCAGCAGCTGCTGGGACAGATGGCCAAGTACAGGGTTCACAGGTGCCCACAAGGACTTCTGCTGCAGGTTCTGCTTCTGCTCCTGTGCCTGAAAACCATTCCTCAGCAGTGCCAGAAACTGGGGAGAGCCCTGCCTGCTCACAAGGGACAGATCTACAGTCAAGTAAGGAGCTAAAAAAGGAAGTTCTGGAAAGCAGCCCTGAAGGAAGGGTTTCTCCAGGTGTGAGTCCAGCTGCAGCAGAGAAGGCCCCAGACCAGGGAGGGTGCAATGGTCAGGTCACAGCCAGTAGCTCAGCTTCAGCAGTGTTGCAAAACCAGGCTTTTGTCCCTCAGCAGATCAGAGTGGTGGCCCTTGGCCTGGACTCTGGCACCAAGAAATTGTCCCTTCCCACACCAGTCACCTGTGAGCTGAAGAGTAACAGGCCACAGCAGAGGCCAGTCAGACTGCAGCCTGCTCCTGCCACTCCACAGGCTGCTTCTCCCGTGATTCCCAGCAGCATCCTGCCCTTCAGGTGGGTTGTAACCCCCCAGGGTCTGCTCCCCAGCCCTGTGCAGACTGTGGTGGGTGTTCCCCAGGGAATGCCAGCTGCTCCTGGGGGAAGCCAGGGTTGGACAGCTGTGACTTCCAATGGCAATGTCTCTGCTTTGGGAGGGACTCCTGTACCAGCTGAAGCAAATCCACCTCACCCCAGCAGTGCAGAGACAAAAGGGCCAAGTTCCCAGCTGGCAGGAGTTCCTTTGGGAAAGGCAGCTGACCAGAACACAAATCCCTTACCTGTGACCCCAGTGAGTGCTGGATGCACCACATCCAGCATTTCTGCTGTAACCCCTGCGCGTTCAGATGGCTCCTGCACGGCTCCAGACTCCAGTGCAGCTCCAGCTGCCCCTCCAGCTGCCAGCCCTGCCCTGTGTGCCGTGGTGCTGCCCCAGACACAGCCCCCTGCCAGCACTCAGGGCTCTGGCTCCCAGCCTGTGCCCAGTCTCAGCGTGGGAAGGAGCAGTGACTCCATCACAACCAACGGATCATCCTCCAATCCAGGCAGCCTCAGGAGAGGGGTTGTGCTCTGGGAAAGAGCTGCAGCTCCTCACAGCAATGTCCCAGGGAGCTCTGCTCGCTCTGGTGCCCAGGCACGGAGGAACAGACCCATTGCCTCCAAACCACCAAGCACTGATGTCCCCCCCCAGCCGAGCACCTCCCATGAACAGAAGAATCTCCTTGACTTCAGCCTGATCTCCCTGGAGGACCAGGGGCTGGTGAAGGAGTGGCTGAGTGGGAAACAAGGGGTTCAGGTGCCATCACTGCAGACCAGGCTGCCTTATCTGCCACCTTTCCTCTGCAGCATAAAAACCCTCTCAAAGCTCCTTCTGCAGAAAACAGCTCTGGAGGAGCAAGCAGCCTCTCTCCTGCCCTCCGAGGCCAGCGGGGACGGGGGCACTGGGGATGTTTTCCATGCTGTTGGAGAACTGGTGCAGCAGAAACTGGGGGATAACCCTGCTTACCTCCTGCTGAAAGCCAGATTCCTGGCAGCCTTCACACTGCCAGCTGTCCTGGCAACTCTGCCTCCTCCCAGAGTGACAACAACTCTGTCAGCCATCAGGCAGCAACTTGAGGAGAGTGATGACGAGGAGTGGCAGAGGGAGAAAAAACTATTTGAGGAAGAGAGCTGTGGGAATGAATTCACAGGAGTACAGGAGGACTGGAGACTTGGGGATGAGCCTGGAGTCAAAGATGCTGATTTACTTAATCAGGTAAAACAGATTCCAGGGGCTAAAAGTAGAAAATTACTGCCAGATAAATATTGCACTGGAATCCAGGGGGAAGCCCCCACTGTTTGGTCCTTTTGAATAAACACAGTTCTACAGCTGATGAAAGGAAAAGCTCTGCAGCTCAGCTGGGAGGATGAAATCTCATGGTTTATGTAGTACTTTAAACTTGCCATGACAGTTCCCAGAAGTGGGTATCAAAGTTCCCTTCCCCTTTCTTTTTATAATCTGCTCTTGCCTTTTTGAAATCAGGCCTTTGTTTTCATTCTGTAAACTGATGTTTTGTGCCTTCTCTGACGTTGGTAATGGAATGTTGTCCCATGCTTCATTTTGAAGGTTAATGAAAGGTTGTTTAGAAATCTTGCTGAGCTCCCTAAATCAGGAAGGTGGCTGAAGGGGTTATTTGTAATTCTCGTGGTGTTGATCATCTCCTGCTTGTGTTGCAGGACATGGGGGCTGAGGAGAGCCCTGCTCAGTCTGCCTCGGGCTCCTGCACTGATGTGGCTGATGCCACAGCTCCCCAAAGCAGGAGAAGTGCCCGCTTCAAGAAGAGGAGGAGGACATGAGAAGGAGATGTGTTAGTAGCTCCTCAGTGGTTTGTACATTTTGCTGAGAAGCTGAACCACGTTTGTCTGTGGTTCAGCTCAGACAGTGACTCATGGCCCCAGGAAAGGACTGAAATGATCTCTGCTCTTGTTCCCCAAGGACACAGAGTTCTGCAGTCACCATCAACCACAGCCTAAGGCTGATAGTATTTTGGGGAAAGTTTATGTCTCTACAATAAAATTATATATAATTCAAACATTTATTTGGCAGCCTTTTAGTTCATGCCCTGAATCCTACTTAGTATGCACCTAATTGGTAACACTCTACAGGCTTGAGAGTGGAGTTTTTCTTGAATACTTCATCTTTGAGCAACTTGGTGGGGTTTGGGGTTTATTTCCCCTCTTTGGCTTCATTTCTGTGCAGTTACAACAGGTCACCTTCTGCAGGGTACAAATGGGTGATGTCCTGATGCCTGCTGAGGCTTTTGGTGCACTGGATGGGATGAACATGAGCAGTGTTTGACTCACACAGTTGTCAGATGAGACTGGTTAGAGATTTTTTTCTTGAAAATCAATTTTAGGAACTCCAAAAGGTCAAGTTCCCTATAAAAATGTGTGACTGATAGGAGCTGTTTGTGCTTTGTTACAGGGGTCACTGGAATGAGCACTGCCTTCCTGCATGGCAGGAGGAGATAATCTTTGCACTGTTCACCTTTACCACTTCTAATGCTGACTGGATGGACCTGGGGAAGAGGAAAATGCTGGATTGATTTTCCCATCCCTCAACAAAATCTGCATCTCTAGGCAAGGTGATTTCCTTTTCCTTGCCTAAGGTCATTTCCTTAAAAATGAAGGAAACTGGCTGGAGGGAAATCTTTCAGGCACAGACTTCTGCTCTTTCAAACTCCCACTTGCCATAGATTCTGAGGGGGAATTTTGCTGGAGATGTGGGGAAGCAAGCAATGGTGGTTATTTATTTCCTTCTTGTGTTGTTTATGTGAATGTTTATCCATGTTCAGAATATGTTAATTGGGTGATTTTTAGTGCTGTGACAGTGGCTTTGCTTGGTAACTGACTGAATACTGTGGAATAAGCAGCAGAAGAATTTTGTATCAAAATTGCTCTTAAGTATTTGTTGAAATACAGATGTTTTATTTTTCTCACTTAAAAATTACTGATGTGTTCTGTGTGGGTTTTATTCTTGGTAAATAATGCTTTTAATAATGTGTGTATGAGAATGATTGCTAATGAGAAAAATGAAGTTTTCAGGCTGCATGAAAACCAGGGAAAATAGGGGGAATGAATATTCATGTGCCTAAAACTGCAGGATTGAATTAGGATTCTTCCTTGATTCTTCCACAGCCTGCCCTGTACAGACATCACAAAATCACTTAAAAAAAAACTTGTTTCTTCATTTATAACCCAGCAATTTCTGTCTCACAGAGAGGTGCAAGGTTAGCTGAGGCAAAGCTGGTAAAATCTAGAGGGAAAGTGCTATGAAAGCTTCATTCCACTGCACTGACTGAACTCCCCTGAGTGTAGTGGGGAGTTGGGAGTTTGAGCTTTTCCACGAGGGCTCTTCAGGCAGAGCTGGGGGCAGAGGGGCACTGGCTGCCAGTGTTGCTGTAATTTGGTGTCAAGACTTTATGGAGCAAAAGGAATGATTGTGGAAGGCTCTCCTCTTGCAGTGTACTCTGTTTTTCATAACCCATTGTAGATACCAGTTTTCCAGGAAATTCAGCTGTGGAAAAGGAGCTGCTGCAGAGTTGTGGGTGCTGTGCCCAGGCTGTTACAGTGAGACACTGGTGGGAAAGGTGAGCTGTGCTCTAAATGATTGTTGGCCTTTGCAAATGCTGCTGAAAAGATACCCTTGTCATTTATTTGTGGGAAAACTGCGTAAGCAGCAGCTGGCTTTGTCCTTTTTCAGGATTAAATTGATTTGTCTCTAGAATAAAACCTCCCCAGGCTAAACTGGTCAATCAACAGACACACTGATTACCAACAGCAAGGGCACAGCTGACACAGGTACTGCATCTTTTTTTAGTGTAAAGCTAATTTAATGACAATAAACACAGGCTGGAAGAATCTCTGAGCATCTCTGCCCTACTCCTAATGATAACAAGGAAAAACTCTCCATAAACTTAGAAAGCAGAACAAAGAGGGGAGTGGGAAGCTAACGGGAACATGTGTCACGCTGCCATGGCATCAGAGCCTCTGTGTTCTCCAGGCTTTTTGAAAAAACACTGAGTGAGTTCTGAGTTCAGCTCCAGGGCTGTGGGAAGGAGGGAGGCAGGCTCAGGTCTTCTGGTGATGCTCAGCATCATCACAATGGCATTGTCAGCATTGTCACATAACCCAGCTGCTTGCTGGGCTGCTCTTCTATTGCTGCCATGGCCACAGCCTGTCATTTGGGAATCATGGGTGATGTTCCTTGCTTTGCCAGGACTTGATTCCCTTTCCCTTTCTTGTCATAATTATGCTGGAAGCTTGAGGACATCCAAAATTAGAGGCATCAGTATAGAAATCACCCTTTTCAGCTGAAGAGACCTGTATCTAAACTGAGAGTGAGTTCTTGCTGCCACCCGTTTTCCTGGAGGAAGATGTTAACAGCTGGAAAGCCTTTGAAGAGCCTCTTCTAATTTTGTATCTTCTTTTGTCCCCTGAAATCAGCTGCACACACCTATGGCTGTGACTTTCATTCCTTTTAGTCTTTCTGACCCACTGCACAAGGAGACTTTCTGGACCCCAGCAGGTCCTTCAGTGGGACAGATTAGAGAACAAAACCAGAATTAATCTAAAATCACTGCTTATGTGTTGCTGCTGACTCACGATGCCACTACCATCTTTCTCCTCCCCCATCAGCCATTCTGGCTTCTGCTTTTTTTAATTTATCTGTCTTTTCCTTCCCTTTCCTGTCTCAGGGTATAGCTGAGTAGTTTGCCCTTTTTTCTCAAACCAGTTTTGTTCCTGGAGTTATCTTTTCTCTAGTCAGAATACAGAGGGAGGCTGCACCCAAGACAGGTTTTCTCAGAGCCAGGACACAGCAGGAGAATCAAGGAATCTTTTGTGACTGCAGGGGTGAAGGTTGGTGATACAGAATGGCTGATATTAACAGGGAATAAGAGTTTATTTCACGGCTCTGAGGTGAAGTGTCAGCTCCTGTGGGTGTTAGATTTGGTGTCTGCCTGGTCAGACAGGACACAGGGATCTCCCATGCTGGGAGGTGGAGAAGGAAGAGTGAGTTGCTCATAAAGCAGAGGCAACAGCTGATTAGGGCACTTCTGCATTCTCACTCTTGACGTCCTTGGTCTCACCACCACTGCCCCACTGCTCCGAGAGTCCCAGGGGCTGCTTGTTTGGTTTTTTGGTGGTTTTTTTTTCCAGACAGGACAGTACTCCTCACTGATTCCCCTCACTGCTGACATGCTGGAAGAGGATAACGACGAGATCTGTTGGAATAACCTGGAGAACTTCCGTGTGAAGCTGATCTCAGTGATTGACCCGTCCCGGATCACCCCTTACCTGCGCCAGTGCAAAGTGCTCAGCCCTGATGATGAGGAGCAGGTTCTCAACGACCCCAGCCTGGTCATGCGCAAGCGGAAGGCAGGTGGGAGCACTTCAAATCCTTCTGTGGAGTTTCCAGGCCATTGGTTTGGGATTGTCTGGGGGGTCAGACACTGGAAGGGCTGCCCAGGGAGGTGCTGGTGTCTCCCTCCCTGGAGGTGTTTAAACAAAGCCTGGATGTGGCACTTGGTGCCGTGGTCTGGTTGACAAGATGGTTCAGCCATAGGATGGACTTAATGATCCCAGAGGTCTTTTTCCAACCTAATTTATTCTGTGATTGGATCCCAGGGACTTGTGTATGTGGAGGAAGAGAAGCCATTTTTTCTTATGTTAAAAACAGGAGAGAAATAACTGAATAGAATATCCTGTTGCCATGATTATGATTGGATCCCAGGGACTTTTGTGTGTGGAGGAAGTGAAGCCATTTTTTCTTATGTTAAGAACAGGTGAAGAGAGAAATAACTGAATAGAATATCCTGTTGCCATGATTTCAGGTGTTCTCCTGGACATTCTTCAGCGAACAGGACACAAGGGCTTTGAGGCATTTATGGAGAGTCTTGAGCTTTATTATCCCCAGCTGTATAAGAAAATAACTGGCAAAGAGCCCAGCAGGGTTTTCTCCATGATTATAGGTAATGTTTGTGTTCTCAGCAACAACAGCTCTTCCTTTGGTGCTGCTGAGCAGAGTCAGGAGCATTCCCTGCCTTGCTCCATGCGTGCTTTGGAAGGGTTCTGGGAAGAACAGCCCTGGTGTCACGGGCTGGGTTGGGGAGGGGGAGGAGGAAGCAGAAGGATGAATTCTTCCCTCTGCCTCTTGTGTCAGTGACTCTGCAGTGCAGAGAGGCACGGTGGGGATAATTTGGTGACACACCATCAGCGTTGGCTGCAGTGATAAGGAGGGGAAGCTGAGCTCTGTGTGTGCCTTGGCAGCAGCCAGGACAGCAGAGAGTGACCCCAGCCCCCCAAACAGACACGGCTGGCGAGTCTGGCCTGAGCCAGGTGCTGATGAACGAGATCATGAAGCTGCAGAGCGCGGTGCAGGAGGAGCGGCGCAAGGCGCAGGAGCTGGCGGTGTGGCTGCACTCCAAGGAGGACACCCTCAGGGAGATGTGGGTCAGGGACAGCCTGCTCCGCAAGCACCAGGAGCGCGCCCAGAGGATGAAGGAGGAGAGGGACAGCCTGAGCAAGGAGCTGCGCAAGTGCAAGGACGAGAACTACAGCCTGGCCCTGAGCTACGCCAAGCAGAGCGAGGAGAAGAGCGCGGCCCTCATGAAGAACAGGGACCTGCTGCTAGAGGTCAGTCACAGTTTCTCCAGCTTCTCCTCCTTACCTGACCCTGGAAAGCAGGGCTGAGCACCTTGTCTTTGCCAAGGATGGTCCAGTCCAGCATGAAGCACTGAGCATCTTCTCTAGCATGTGTCTTTGTGGTCCCTAGCTCAGCCCTGTAGGCCTGAATTTTACAAGTTGTGCTGTGAATGATGATCAGACTTGCCCTCACTCAAGGCTGCTCTCAAAAAGGCAGCACAGGAACATGGACCTGTTAGCACACAGGCAGGACTCTGGCCCCAGGGCACAAAACTTCCTGAGGAAAACAGCTGGGGAGAAACTTGGCCTGTATTTGGCTGGGGAACAGAGAACTGGTTTTGCAGGCCAGAGCTTTCTGCTTTCTCCTGCTGAGCTCTGAACCTTCTCATAGATTGACCAGCTGAAGCACAGCCTCATGAAGGCTGAGGATGACTGCAAGCTGGAGAGGAAGCACACCATGAAGCTGAAACACGCCATAGAGCAGCGCCCCAGCCACGAGGTGGTGTGGGAGATCCAGCAGGAGAAGGAGCTGCTCTTGGCCAAGAACCAGGAGCTGGAAAACACTCTCCAGGTTGGTGGGGTGGTTGAGTATGGACTGAAGAGATTATTGGTAGCAGCCAGGGCAGCAATGCTGCAGTAAGATTGTGAGCATCAGCTGTTGCCCAAGAGCCCTGAGGGGAGAGAGCTGATATGGAGTTAGATGGTGGCCCTATCTCACTTCTGCCTTTGTCCTGCAGGTTGCCAGGGAGCAGAACTTGGAGAAGAACCTCTCCAAGGAAACCCTGGAGAATGACTGCAGCCAGACTGTGGCAGAACGGCGGGAGCTGGTGAACACCATTTACAGCCTGCGCAAGGAGCTGCGCCGGGCCAGGGTGCTCCAGGACAAAGTAGGTGCTGCTGCTCCAGTCCCTGCTGAGGCTCATGGATCACACAGGCAGGTGAAGCACCTGCAGTGTCCTGCCTGTGGAGCAGCTGCTCAGGAGCAGTCCCTGCTGCTCCTGCTGTAGTACCTGTGTTTCAGCACTGTGTGTGTGGCACCCCAGGGAGCTGTGGCCAGAGCAATCTGTGGCACAGAGCAGGAGTGGGGACAGTCTGGCTCAGGCTCTGCCCACAGGCAGCTGCTTTTGACCTTGTCTCGGCAGTTTGCAGAGGAAAAAGAGGTGCTGGAGCTACAGTGCACATGTCTGAGGAAGGACTCCCAGATGTACAAAAAACGGATTGAAGCTGTCCTGCAGCAGATGGAGGAAGTGGCTTCGGAGAGAGACCAGGTGATCAAATATTCCTCACTGCTTTTTGGGCAGACAGTGCCAGCCTGTGCGTGCTGTTGTGTGAATGGTGTGCTGTCCCTCTGCACAGGCTCTCCTGACCCGAGAGCAGTTCCACATGCAGTACTGCAAGAACCTGCTGGAGAGAGACGCCTACCGCAAGCAGGTCCGGGAGCTGGGGGAGAGATGTGACGAGATGCAGCTGCAGCTCTTCCAGAAGGAGAGCCAGCTCCTGGCCACTGAGGCCAAGCTGAAAAGGCTGCAGCTGGAGCTGCCCACTCTGGTATGACTCTCCTCCCCCTGATGGATTGGGAAGCTGAGGGTGGGGTCAGACTGTGGCTGTTCCCAGGCCTTGGTGCCTGAGCAGCTCATCAGTGAACACCTGCCTGAGCCACCACCAAGATTAATTAAAACCATTGCCATGCAAATGCTGAGTTTAGAAAATTAAAGGTGTGATGGTCCCTCTGACCTCACCCTGGTTTCAGGCATGGAAAACCTGGACAGATGCAAGCTCAGGTCGCCTGTGTTTGTGTCTGGAGCATTTCCAAAGGTGGTGAGGGGTTCCTCAACCACCAAAGAGTGACTCTAAATAGAGACTGGGTGTGAGCCATTTGGGTGAAATGGGGAGCTGAGTTTTCTGGAACTAAATTAGATATATTTTAATTAATATGGCATCTTGTGTACTTTCTTGAGTGGCCAGACAGGAGTGTAGGAGTTCTCTGTGGAGCTCTAAGTCTCCTGTATTCTCCCTTCCTTGCTTATGAGGAATGATCAATCTATGCTGGTTTTGTTTCAGACCTCTGACCTGGATGACTCCTCCTCCAGAGATTCCCAGGAAGTGAGTAGGGTTCCTTGTTTCCCTTTCCCTTTCCTCTGGAATGGTTTCATGTTGCTCACCTGTGCTCAGCTCCCCAGGTATCAGCAGTTTTCAGTGGCTCAGGCTCATTTCAGTCAAAAAGTCCAGAGGCAGCAAGACAGTGACAGAATCTCCCTGTGCCCTGAAGTTCTAAGTGTAAGACACAGTTATGGCATTAGTCAGCAAGATTTGTTGAGTCTAAGCAAATCAAGGGAATTGAATTATTCTTTACTTGTCTGTCTTGTGTAAGAACAGGCAAAAATAAGTCTTACCCTGGAGCCATCTGTAGTAAAGGGTTTCACTTAGTTCATAACCTCAGTGAGGGAGTGATTGTCACACTGTCTGGGGGCCAAAAGTATAAATGAGGCCAAAGGAAGCTGGATCTATTCATGGAGGAGAAATCCATGAGCAAATCTGTAACTCCTGGCTCAGTGTGCTGTTTGCTGTTAGCAACAGGGAGAGGGAGGTTGGTTCTAGCATGTCCTGGGTTTTATATTCCTTTATCAGTTCCTACAGACTGAGGGACAGTTCTGATGTTCTTGCTCTGTTTTCTGCCCCACAGCTTGTTCTTCACAGTCACCTGGATGAAGACGCACAGACAGCTAAACGTAAGGGCAAAGCTCTGAGTAGAGCTCTGGAGGGGGTGGTCCACTCTGTTTTGCTCTCCTGGAAGATATAAATGATCTTTTAATTCATTGAGATGGGAGAATTTTCACTAAAACTAAACAGTACTGATCCAAAAAGGCTTTTATTATTATTATTATTCTACCTTGCTCAGTTCAAAAATATATATTGTAATGGGTTTCACCAAAATAGGATCTGGTGTAAAGTGCCATGATATTCACAGCCTGGGGAGCAGGGACAAATGATGCATAAAATAATGATTAACACATTTCTCACAGAAATGGCCTCAGAGGAGCTGCTTGGCAAAGGTTTGGTTTGCTGCTGCTGAAGTTGGAAGTGGGAAGCTCTGTCTCTCTCTGAGTGAGGTGGGGAACTCCACCAGCCTGGGCAAGATTCAGGGCTCTTAAAACAAGAAGTGACTTGTGATTGATTGATCACAGGATGGAGTTCTGAGTGCTTTGGGCTTGGTTTCAGTTCTGCTGTGGGCTCTGTGCACTTACATCACAGCTCTTCTGTTGGAAGAACTGCTGGAGGGAGAAGTTACTTTGCAATGGCAACTCTGACTAAAGCTGTGATTTATTTTTTTTTAAATCTTTCAGAAGATTGCCTGGAAGTACAAAACCAGGAACTCAGCCCTCAAGAGAGCCATCTGCCCCCAAAATCACCCAGTGTAAGAGAATCTTTGTGGGCTCTTCTTTACTATGGCTGGGGTTTGTGATCTTTAATATTCTCATAATTATGGATTTACCAGCTTGGAGAAGCATGTCAACAGCTCCTGCTTTTCCAAACTCTGAGCACTTAGTGCAGAATCCACCCTCCAAAAAGGGTGAGCTCTGAACAGCAAAACATTTACAGTGGACATTTATCCATCTGTGTACAAAAACTTCTAATTACTTTCTGCCCTTCATCTCTGGATAGGGATGTTTTCCAGCATAATTACTGCAGAATTACTGTTGCTGCAGAAAACAGACTGCCAGAATTGAGATGTTGAGGGAATTAATGTAGTAAAACTGTGTGAAACAGCAGCATTTCCACCCTGCACACACAATAAAGAACCTGCTGGTACTTGACTCTGTAGATGCAGGAAGCAACCTGGTGTTAACACTGATCTGATCAAGAAAAAATTCATATTTTTTAGTTTGGTTGTTGTTTTTTTTTTTTTCTATTTCAAGGAGTGTGTCTTGGCCAACGAGGAACTGGCAGAAAAGGAGAGGAGGAGGATGAAGGACTGCTTTGAGCGTTACCGAAGGTCTGGGCTGCAGTAAGCAGGGCTAACCTGGAAATATCCATTATTTGGATTTCCCCTTTCCTGTCCCCAAGCTTCATTCATGGAGCACATAAAATGAACCACAGAGGGGACTGATACATACTAACAGTATGAAATGCTGCTTGTTTGCAGAAAACCTTCTGAAAGTTGTGTGTCTGGTGTTGTTTGCAGAAAAAGAGCAATGAGAAGGGCGCCCAAGGACCGGCACCACGAGGCGGATTGGGAGAACACCTCTGGCAGCGACAACACCGACACCGAGGGCTCCTGAGAGAGGGACAGCACCTTGGAAAGGGACACCACGGCCACCAGAGGCTCCTGGGGAGCCAATCTCTGAGGGGAACACCAGCTTCTACAGGGTGGCCATGCTTCTCACTTTCACTCACAACGGACAGTTTAGATTCTAAAACCATCCAAACACCCATTTATGAAAAGCACTACAGTGACACTATTGTCTGGCTCTGACAGCACCTCGGTCAATAAACAGGTTGAAATGCCTACGTGTGACACAGGCCGAGCTGATTAATTACGGGTTAATGAAGGGCATTGCCCGACACCACCATGGCCGCTGCCCGCACCCAACATGGCCGCCGGCGCCTCAGGGCGCCCGCCCCGCGCGCATGCGCGGCGCCATGCTGAGGGCGCTGCTCCGGGAGCCGCCGCCATGGCGGCTCCGCTGCCCCCCGCCCGGCCTGAGGGGCCCGGCCCGCACCGCCCCGGGGCCTCTCTGTCTGTCCGCCCGCCCGGCCCGCACCGCCCCGCGGCCTCTCTGCGGGCCTGCCCGCCCGGCCTGCACCGGCCAGGGACAGCGCTGGGGCCCGGCCCGCCCGCTGTGCACCGCCCCGGGGCCGCCGGCGGCCACGCACTATCGCCTGGTGTACACCTGCAAGGTGGGCGTGGGGCCGGGGCGCTCTGAGGGCACCGTCGCTGGGGTGGCCTGGGGGCTCCTGGTGTAGCTGTTTTCTTGGTTTTAAACTTGTAAAGATTAATTCAGAGTGGAAGAGCCCTCTGGAGGTTTCAAGTCCATGCTCCGTGTTGGAGAAGGGTGTTCGGGGTTTTGTGAGTGTCTCTGAGGGGGGAGATCCCACAGCCTCTGTGGATCCTCCTTATTAGGGAGCCAGTAAAGCAGTGAAACCTCTCTCAGCCTTTTTGACCTGGGTTGAACTCACGACATCCTAACATGATGGAGCTGACTTGGAATAGAGGTGAGGGAGGGAAAACGCTTTTAATGTCAGAAGTATTTTTGTCTGAAAAGTCCCAGGAGCTGCAGTTACCATGGTCATAAAATCCACATTGTTTTCCAGGTGTGCCAGACCCGCTCAGCCAAATCAATCTCTAAGGCTGCCTACCACCGCGGGGTGGTGATCGTGACCTGTCCCGGCTGCGGGAACCACCATGTCATCGCCGACAACCTGGGCTGGTTCTCCGACCTGCAGGGAAAGAGGTGAGTGTGCCAGCAGCACCCTCCCCACACCCTGCTCCCGCCTGCAGCTTCCTCAGATGATGCCTTGTTTCGGTGATTTTTTTTTTTTCCCTAATGTGGCTCATACTAAAAGTTTCATCCAGTTCAGTAAAACAGGCTCTGTTTTCAGTCGTTATAATTTGACTGTTGCTGTCTAGGATCCAAATAAATTGGTGTGAAGCTCCAGTAGAAACTTCACAGGGATCCTTAGTGGTGCCAGCGGGTGATTTGCTGTTCCCCTCAGGCTTTATCACTTCACTGCTGGCTTTCCTTGGATGTTTCAAGTGTTTAGATTGATCTGCTGTGGAATTCCAATGATTTCTAACTTCCCAAGATACCTTTAAAAGCTTCTGTTTAGCTGTCATTGCTAAATCATTGATCCTCGTGGATGAGAGTAGTCCCAGAAGGTTTGGGTGGTTTTCTGTGGTTAATTTTGGGTGGTTTTCCTGGTGATGTGACTCCTTGCGTGGTGTCAGTCCTGAGGGCAGAATGCAGCGGGCCTTTGCTGTGGTGTCACTGCTGGTTCTCAAATCCCTGTCCAGGAATATCGAGGAGATCCTGGCAGCCAGAGGGGAGGAGGTGAGACGTGTGGCTGGTGAGGAAGCGCTGGAGCTGCTGCTGGAGAGCTCGGCAGAGCCCGGGCCCCGAGGGCAGCTGGCAGAGGGGGACGACAAGGAGGCCCCCCCAGATGCTGGCAGCAAGGGACACACCTGACACGAGGGATTGTGGCCTGTGGGACACACCTGACACGAGGGATTGTGGCCTGTGGGACAGATGTGGAATTTGGGACATTCCGCTTGTGGCAGGAGACTCTTCACCTTTGTTCCCTGATTTCAACTGTTTCTAAAATAAACTGGGGTGTTGGGTTTTCTCTGTTGTGTGTCTTTGCCTTTGATCAAGCTGATGTCTTTAGAGATGGTGTTGGTATCTTTCCTGATACTCATTTTGCTGACTTTCAGGCAATTTTGAGTGCCCCAGCAATGCCCTGTGCCTGGCTTTGTTCCCTGCTGAGAAGGCAGACAGAAACTCTCTGTCTGTGTGTGTTTGACCTAGCGAGGTGCAGCTGGAGCTGGAGGTTTTAGGGATGCTCAGGTGTGGGAAATCAGGAGAAGGGGCAATTGATACCACCTGAGGAGATGGGTCCCAGCATTCTAAAGCCAAAATAACCCTGCAGGAGGGTCAGATCACCTGCTCTTAATGCAGTCAAGTGCTGCTTTTATCTGTTCTTTTGACCTTTTCCAGAGTTTTGTTTTGTGCCCCTCATGTCAGGGCTGAAAGTTTTGTATTTTGATCCCACTTGAGCTCCAGCGTGGGGGTTTTACCACTCCTTGTTGGTGAGGGGGAGTGTGGGTGTGAAGGCAAAATGAATAGTGGTGGAGAGAAGAAGAGGACCCAGAAAGTTGTCTTGGCAGATATTGAGGGGCTTATTAGTGCTACTGCAGTATGTTAAGATTAGTTAGAAATTTAAAAAGAAATAAATGACAGATGTGGGAGTTTGTCAGCAGGCAGCTCTGGGGTAGTGGTGCATCAGCACTGAGAGGATGATGTTGTGCTTTGTTAGGGCTTGTTCCCTCTGCACAGTGGAATACCTGCTTTCTTAGGGTTTTGATCTTGCAATCAAAGACTAATTCAGTTTGGAAGAGCCTTCTGGAGGATTCCAGTCCGATCTGCTTGTCAAAGGAGGATATTCAGGATCTTGAATCACAACCTCTATGGATCCCCCTCATCACTGAGCCACAGAAAGCAGCAAAACCTCTCTCAGCCTTTGTGTCTTGGGCTGAGCAAACCCAGTTCTCTCAGCCAAGCATCTCCAGCTGCTTGTGGTGCTTCATCAGCCATGGATTCAATGAGGGTATTGCAGGCATTAATGAGTTTCCTTCATCTGGAGTGTTCATAACAATTTTATTTATGTTGCATTGTAGGTGTTGGGTCAGAACACCAGGAAAGTTGTCACGTTCCTGTGGGTGTGTCAGTGCAGAGTGATGAAACAGGGGCAGGAACTTCATCAGCCAGCTCATGTGTGCTCAGATCCTGGTGAGATGCAGCTCTCCCTGACACAGCCAGCTGCTGGAGTGACCCAGGACTGACAAACAGGAATTTGCATCTCAGAGCACTGCTGTGTTCTCCCCCTGAGCTGGGCTGCTGCCACCTATTAGCACTGCTGGAAAAGTGTTTGTTTTATTACCTTTAATCTGAAAATCAGCATTCTGCTTCCATGGTGCTGATGCCTTTGATGGGGTGGAACAGAGCAGCTGTTGCAGGATCCGTGTTGCCTTGGAAACAACTCATTTACAATCTGGCTTTTTTATACTGTTTTCCTTACCTTTCTTACCTGTTACTAGGTCCCAGCTACAGGAGGGTGGTGCAAATATTTGCTGTGTTACAGTAAAAAATGTAGCAAAATGTAGCAAAATCTGTGTTAGCTGTTCCTAAATGTTAATGTTTCCTGGTCCCCCTGCCCTTTGGCACCAGGTGCTCCCTGGGGGCAGGACAGAGACAGGTCTCTGTGCCCTGGGGCTGCCTCTGCAGCTCTGAGCATGGAGGGTGGCAGTTCTTGCTGCTGCTCTGAACATTCAGGCCAGCACCAGGGGAGGGAATTTGCACATAACACAAAAAAGATTTGCTGCTAAGAGATTGCAGCTAAAACCCAGAATTTTTTGTTCCCTTTTGAAGCTGTTTTTTCTGTAAAATGTTGAGTCATGGGGTTTGCTCTGGAAAGGGGACGCAGGTAAGCACATGGGCTTGCTCTAGCCAAAGGCAGGGAGTGAGGAGAAGCAGCCTTTCTCCTGAGTGCCTTTCTCCAGGCCTGGCATCAGCCCTGTCCTGCCAGTGCCTCTGGCTGCTTGTGTACAGCTGGGTAGGAGAGGGCAGGAGGCCTGACATCAGCCTGCAGGACAGCAGTGCCTCTGGCTGCTTGTGTACAGCTGGGTAGGAGAGGGCAGGCTCTCGTGTTTCTGCTGGATTTTTAGGGCTCTTCGTGAAGAGGACCTGCCCTGCACTGGGGACAGCCCTGCCCCCAGTACCTCACACCCACAGCTGCAGCACAGCTCACGGGCCGGCAATCCCGCGGCTCTCCAGCGGATGTCAGCATCAGAGAGCTCTTCCCGACGTGGGAACGAGCCGGGCAGCGTGGGAGAGAGCAGGATTCAGCACAGCAGCCACCGCTGCAGGCTGCTCTGGAGACTCAGTGGTAGCCGGTGCCCTCTGCTCACAGGAGCTCAGAACGAGCCTGTGCTGCTCAGGACGGAGGCACAGGAGGTGAGACACCATCACTCTCTGCCAGGGATCACCTGCTCCTGGGAATCTGAGCCTCTGCACACCTGAGGGCACAGTTCTGGCCCCAAGTCACACGCATAGCTGCTGTGTCCAGGCACACAGAGGTGTGAGAGCACCTGATGAGAACAAGCTGGTGGCTCTTTACTAATCTTTGATAAGGCAGTGGCCAGCACTAATGAACCAGGCATGGAAGCCCAGCTGTGACTTGGCTTTATCCTCCAAACTGCTTGCTCCCAGGCTGCCTTCCAGCCCAGTCCAACAGCCTGCTCATGCCTGCTGTGCTGGAATGAGCTGGTGCTGCTGCTTTGTGTCTCCTCCAAGGGCCAGTGCCCAGCACTCCCTGCCCTTGTCCCCTGGCTCTGGGGAACAACCCAGCTTTGGGCCAGGCGCCGGGGTGGCACCGAGACCAGGCAGAGCCAAGCAGGGCCTGAAAGGAACAGCTCAGCCTCTCAGCCTTTTCCAGTGGCCTTTTCTCAGCCGTGCAGGGCTGCTCTGTCTGCCCTGTCGTCCTGGAAACTTCTGGGCAGGCAATTCTCATGGCTTTGTGCCTTCCCTCCACAGCCACAGCCATGCTGGCAGGCAGGCAGAGGTGGGATGGTGGCGGCTGCCACGAGACCCGTGTGCTCATAAAGTGATGTGGAGGTGGGTGCACAATGCTTTCCTTAGCACAGGTGGTGGTGTCTGTTACCAGACCCCCCCCATTCACCCCCATCCTTATTCCAAATGGCCAGGATTAGCCCTGCTGTCAGCCAGGAAATAATGGAAATGAGTATTTGCACTGAAGCTTAGACACAAATATTTATTAAGCACAATTCCCCCCACCCCTTGCCCTTGAGCTGTATTCATTTCTAATATATTAATCCATTTGGCAGATTATTTTTTAGAAAAAAAACAAGTACCTGTGGGTTGGAAATTCCCCATTAAAATGACATTAGCAAATGCACATGTAAAAAATAAATAAGCTCATACATTCAAGTATATGGCAAATAATACCTCAATAATACCTCTGAAAGCTTAATGGTCAGGTTCCAGTTCACCACCTGGCTGAGAGCTACACAGGCCTGAGCCTGCAGCTGGTCAGGTCATCATCATCAATGTTTTTCTCTTTTACAAATGCCAGCTTGGCTGGTAGGCAGGGGATGGGCAGCTCCTCCTCTCCCCTCTCCAGAGCTCTGCCCAGCCCCAGGAGGGAGGCCCAGCCTCGGCCAAGCAGCAGGTGAGTGCTCCCAGGTAGCAGGTAAACTGCAGCTACCACTCCACATGGTCAGTGCAGGCAGGGTAAATGCCCCATGAGCAGCATCACTGGTCTAAAAATATCTCCCTGCTGGCTGGGAATGTTTCCATCAAATGCATTTTGAATCCAAAGTGCTGATTTATTCTCTGCAGGAGCGGCGCTGCTTCGGCACAACTCGGTGCTGGAGTTGCTGAAGTCCAGCATAGTCTCTGGTCAAGCAAAGGAAGAATACTGCACCTCCTCAAGTCAGGTCCCTGCTCCCCCCCTCCAGCTTTTCCAGCTGGTCCAAAAGGGGAAGGAATGACAGTAAATGTGAGTTCCCAGCCAGCCCCCAGGCTGGGGCTCTCCTGAGGCTCCAGGGGATGGAGACAGGTGGACAGAACCAGAGAGCCTCACTGGGAGCAGCTCAGTGCTGGTTTGGGGAGAAACAAGAGGAGGGAAGGGCCATTGGCCCAAGCTGCAGTTGGACACAGAAGAAAGGAGGGATGAGCCATGGGAAGAAAGCTTTGCTGGCTGTTGAAGCAGGGCCCTGTCACACACAGGTTCTGTCTTGGACACCCTCACATTGGCTCAGTGGCACCAGGAGCTGTCCCTGATTGTTGTGGGCTGAACACTTGGGCAGAGACCTCTTTCCTCCTTCCCTCTGCCCAGGAACAGCCCCTGCCATGGGGCTGCAGAGGGCTCCAGAGGTAACAGATCCCACTAAAGCTTAGCATCAGCGAGGCTTTTCCCCTGCTCAGGAGGTCCTGCAGGGCTGCAGCTGGAAGCAGAGAATGTCCAGGGCTCTCCAGAGAGTCCTCAGCAAACCTAAAAAACACTCAGCTGGGATGGATAAGGTTTAAAGGACTTGGGCTTTTTTTCTCCTGTAGAAAGAACAAAGCTGAACAAGATGTTCCAGAGAAGGATCCAGAACCGTTTGTGTCAGGGAAGACAGGAGGACTTGAACATGGAAAAGGTGTTCTTCCCTTTCCTTATTTAAATAATACAAGTGTTGTGGAAATAAAAGAAATCAAGGATGGAGTTAGCTACCCCCTGTGGGCTCCTCCAAGTCCCTGGGGTTTAGGTGATCAGCAAGGGGCTGCCAACGTCTTCCAGGTGCTGTGCCCAGAGTTACAGTGGCCAAGTGTCCTAAAAAAACCCTTTTTTAAAAACTGTCCCCCATCCGCTGGGCTCTCCCATAGGAACACGATGGAGGTGCAAGACTGGGAGCACAGGAGCACTCGGGCTTGAAACCACCTACTCTGTTCTTCCTTTTTAAAAAACAAAGCTGAAACAGCCCCCCCAGCCCAAAGCCCAGTTCTTAGCTGGAACCAGGCCTCTGCTGCTCCTCCTCGGCCTCCTCCTGGGCTGAGGCCAAATCC